GACATATCTGCTGGACGACATAGGCAATATCCGGACGAGTGAAAGTCAGATAATCTAGTGCACCAGCCAAACTACGATACTGAGTAGAGTCAGCAACTGGAGGACCATTGACGGACAACTTGAAGTGCAGGTCTACAGGAGTGCCGCAAGGCTTGCAAGCACTCATCCCGACGCGTTCCAAGATGTCCAGAGTATACTGCCATTGAAAGAGCAAAAGGCCATCATCGCAGCGGGCGACAGAGACACCAATGAAGTGATGGAGCTGTCCCATGTCGGTCATAGCAAACTCACGCTGAAGGGCTGCAATAATATGTTGAAGAAACCTAGCTGAGGAGGCGGTTAGAACAATATCATCAACATAGAGCAGCAGATATGCAGTGTCTGATCCCTAGTGATTAGCGTAGGTGCTTTGCGAAGTGCTTAGGTTAGTTAGACCACGCTCATATGCGCTTGCTCTAGGCTTAGGTCTAGTTGCTAGTGAGGTTTGCATACCTCTTGACCAAAAGGTGCTTTACGCGCACCGTGCTTGTACTCGGGCGGGGCTTGTAAGTCTTGCGAGACCATACTAAACGTGTTTGTGGTGTGGCTGCCACCGTGGATGGAGGGAACAAGGCCCACGGTGTTTTGATCGAAAGCTTGATAATGAAGACAGCGGGGAACGGTCCGAGAGAGGTACACCAGAGACCCACTTTCGCATGGGGAAGGCCCGGGGCTATCCACAGAGTTACCCAACCGGGAGCTTGGCTCTTGTGAGGGATTCCTTGCGAGGGGCTCCAACGGGATTAGGGGAAGCTTGCGTGCTTCTCGATACCTCGGTAAAAAATACCGAGTCATTGATGGGAGTTTGCATCTCTACCTCATCTTTAGCTTCTTCATTTTTATTGTAATCTTGGTTATGTGCTTTACCATTCCTAGCTTAGTTGATAGGCTAGTTGATAAGGTTGAAACCTAGGTTGCATAACTCTTTTGTAGTGGAGATAGTAACACATCTAGCAAAACCTTAGTTGCATATTTAGATAGATTACTTTCTTGCATAGGTTTTGACTAGGTGGAATTAGAGGTCATAATTAGAAGTAGAATTTTAAGTTGCCTAATTCATCACCCTCTTAGGCGTCATGGTCCTTACACGCTGGACACACTCTTCTCGGACGGTGGAAAAGGCTCGTCCAGGCAGCCGCGAAGACGTAATGCCACCTTCTAGGTCGCACCGCTGCGTCGGATTTAGTTGTTTTCCATTTATGTAACATCGAAACTAGAGGCCTTTCGCTAGGATGGTCCAGCTACGATTGTTTTTAGGTCGACCTCCTTCAAGCGCCGATAGAGACGCGTTGTCTCAGTATGTTTAAAATCTTCTTCTTAATACAATGATACACAAATATTTTGCGTATTCGAGAAAAAAAATAAGATGGAGGTCCGTATTATAGGGGATGGTCTCTCCACACTATTACTGATATAAACATAAACAAAGATGGAGGTCTATATGAATATCAACTTTATTGGTTTGATTTTCTAGCAAGGTGGCAGGCTTTATGGCACAGCCTCCCAACAGTGCAGCAACGTAACGGTGGCTTGCTCCAGCAAGGCAGCGCCCAGTAGATTTGTGGTCGTGGTGGAACCAATTTTTTTGGTTGATCATGTTAGAGCATGGAACAGTGGACAAGGACAGGAAGAATGAGAGGAGGAAGTGTGTGTGAAGATGAGTTGGAATGCACAAAGATATTACTCCCATTAGCATTGATATGGTCATCAGTCATCACACACACAGAATCTGACCCTTCTTTTCTTTCCAACATCTTTTCATGGCTGACTAATATATATATATATATATATATATATATATATATATATATATATATATATATATATATATATATATATATATATTTGAGGAAACTGGAGGGCCGCAGCCCTTACAGATTGAACTTATTAATTCTACCAATACTATATTCTAATCCTAAAGTTCCACTAATGGAGAACAGGGTTTCATTTAGTCTATTTACAAAACATGTTAAGCCTGGTTAAATTTCAGTCTATTAGTATTATTTTTGAACAAGTTCAGTGAATTGTTGTAGATAGAAAAGAGAAAACGCACAAGCCCAACTGAACTTCGGATCCATGGAAACAAATGGCTCTGTTAGAGCCTCAGCAGAAGCCTCGAGCAAGTATATCACGAATAACACTGTGCTAATTCATCCCAGCTCCAAAACAAATCACATGTTCAAAAAGCAGTATGTTGTTTGTTGATGGAATACCCCACAATACAAGGATTGAGAGAACAGTCATCAACTCAAGCGTATATAGTAGGACCAAATTCTGCTGGACAAAATCCAATAGCAAGTGGATTTAATGAATTTAGAGTATATATAACTTTTGCATAAAGAAATGATCGGCACGTTCAGCATCCGTGTTACTTATTACAAACAAATTGAGCCAGTAAGGCAAGAAGCAGCTGGTCCCCAGTCCCTAATAGTAACTCAACAAGTCCAAAGCCCCAAACCATACTACCACAAGCGATGCTGCAGATTCATCAGAACCAACAGCAATCAGCATGCATCTACACATATTATCAAGTCTGAAGTAAAAATAGTAGTGATAATTCTCGAGACAACAGCCTGCTCTGCAGCTGGATCCATGTCGTAACCATATGCTGGAGACGGTGGTGCCAGCTGATGAACGCAGAGAGACTGCAAAGATGCTTCAACATCGACACCACCCGTGTGGGTATGAGTGGCTCTTGCCGCACAAGTCCTGCCCACTAATTAGTAGTGATAATACTAATTAATTAAATATGCCGCATCAAGTAATAATATTAATTAAATATGAAGAATCTGTCTTGGAATCTGGGTGGGAAAAGCAGACGCTCGCGTCGCCGCCAAGGGCGACATCGGCGGACCAAGCTCGCCGCCGCCAAGACACCTCCCTCTCGCGCGCCCTCATCCTCGCCGCCGCCCGAGCCCTCCGGCAGTTCGCCGTGAAGTCGCAATGACGGTGGCGGCGGGGCTCTTCGTCCCCTCCCCGTCCGTTTGGTGGGCGCGCGGCGACGGCGCCAGCAGCTTGCGAGCAACGGCGGCGGCTGCGACGACCCCATCCTCGACGGAGGTGGCAGATCCGACGCCGTGGAGGGTGGATCCGGCAGCTCCCATGCCGGATCTACGCTGGTGGGCCTCGTGGCCGTGCGGGGCGGCGCGCGGGCGCCATGGTGGTGCTTTCGCGCCGCCCATCCATCCATGGCGGTGCGACGGTTTGACGGTGGTGTCCGTGGCGGTGGGCGGTGTGGCTTGTGCGCGAGGCTGGTGCGGTGGCGCCCTGGCCCGTAGGTGGTGGTGGTGGTGGTGGTGCTCCTCCGTTGGTCCGGCGATGGCCGGCAGCGACAGCAGGTCAGAGGTGGCGAGGGGCGCGACAGCTTCTTCTTTGCCGCGCCGGAGGTGGAGAGGGCGGGATGGAGGCTGCGCTGCCGCCGTCTTGGTCTCGCCGGCGTCTACAATGGGCGCAATAAGCGGCGGCGGTGGCGGCTCGCTACCGGATCTCGGCGCTCTGGCGGCGGATCCGGCCTTCACCTGGCCGGATTTGGTGCTCTGCGGTGGTGGTAGTGACTACCGCGCGGTGTTTCACTGGGCACCGGCGCGGTTTTGTCAAGAGGTGGATCGGCTGCTTGGTGGTTGGTGGCGGCGTCTTGGCGTCTGGCGGCAATCCAACGGTGGCGGTGTGGTTCTTCGGCGATCTTGCGTGGTGGCGTGGCTTGCCGTGGCGGTGGCGAGCCTGCGTTGCCGTGGTGGTGCTGCCCGGCATTGCGGGCCCGGTGGAGGCCACACTTCCCTGTTGGGGCTTGCCGACGCGCGTGTGCCCGTGGCGGAGCGTTAGGGGCAAGCGGCGGTTCCCTCCTCTGCTGCGCCCTCTCCTTCTTCTCGATGGTGGCCATTTTGTGGCGGTGGTTGGGTTTCATGCCGGCGTTGGGGGGCGGCCCTTCTATGCCGTTCTTCCCCACATGATCCTGGGTGTCGGCGCGGAGCGGTCGCAGCGAGGACGGAGGCCTCGGCGTCTTGGGGTGCTGGTTCGGGGCCTTGCCCGCATCCGGATCTTCGGGCATGGGACGGTGCCCAAGGTGGGACGACACGGCGGCGGAAGGCTGGTTCTTCGGCATGTGGTCCGGTCGGCGGGGGTGCTGGCGCAGCTTTGCGGCTGCTTGTGTGGCCGGCGCGTCGACCCCCTCGGAGTGGCCTCGGCCGGTGGTCTGGCGGCGATGTCTTTGGTGCCTGGCAGGGACCCGGCATCTTGACCGACGACCGTGCTGTGGTTTCTTTGGGCGATGGCCTGGTGACGGCGACACCTGCGGGTGCCGTTCCCCCCGTTGAGGGCGTCGCGTCCACAGCACTCTCCACGGGTGAAAACCCAGTCCGGCCTTGGACGAGCGACGACGGCGCTTGGACGTCGTTACCTTCTTGAAGGCGTCGTTGTGGAATTTGTCTCGGCCGGGACGGCTCGTGGCGGGGCTAGTGCGTCGTTTTCGCTGTTGTGTTGCGTGGGTGGTGCCAGTGGTGGAGAGTTTGTTCTAGTAGAGTCGAGTTGAGTGGACGTCGACCACCGCAAGTGGCGGCGTGAGTTGAGATAGTTGGTTAGCTCGGGTCGATTCGACAAGTTGGTGCTGAATTGTTGTATCAAGTTGTGTAGGATGAGCGGGGCTCTCCTCAGTTGTATGGTTTTTTTGCCCAGTTTCCATTCAAAGAACTGGACGGGGCACTTGCCTTCTTTTTCTTTTCTTCGTCTAATAGAAATCGCGGCAAACTTTTGCCGTCCTTTCGAAAAAAATATTAATTAAATATGATATATGTATAACAGCTGGCGCAAACATAAGGTAAAAAGACTCAGATCTTGCACTGCCTTGACCTTAATTTATATCGAATCGCTACTATAACCAAAACTCCGCCCCACCGGTTTGATGTTGGATAGGGTGACACAGGTGCAGGCCAGACCACGTCCTGAGCGCAGACTCTGCAGCCCTTCTATTGGATTCTTTTGCAAATGTGCTCCCAATGTCTCCGACGATTTCCTTGAGGCCCGATAGGTACTCGATGCTCGCAGAGCACACCACCATACCTGTCCCATCCACATGCATTGAAACATAGCCCGAGCCTTTCAAGCTTCGGCATCGCCCCTGCCTCAAAGGCCAGGTACGATATCCTGAAACATCCAACTGTAAAATGCTTGAGAGCAGGGAATCCTCTTCCACGGATGATGATCTTGTCTTTAGGAACTCCATGGATGTGCAAGTCGAGGCGGACAAGGGAGGGCAACTGTGAGAGAATCCCAACGTCATCCCCATACACATCTTGAACACTAAGCTCCAGGTCATAGAGGCTATGGTGCTGGCCAATCCAGCCAGGAATCCTCGAGAACCAGCGATCGTACATTGCATGAAAGCTCTGGAGATGAATGAATGAAGTTGGGACTGAACACCATGAATCTAAGCAGGCTCTGAGAGTGACAGGTAGGTAATCACTATGAATAAGTAGACATTTGAGGCTGCAAATGTTTCCAAGGGCATGCACAAGTTCCCTACATTTTGCAGCAAACTCGTCTCTATTGGTGGATGTGTAGTCAGAATATCCGATTTCAACATTTGTCAGATTTGTCAGTTCTCTCAGACCCTTGATATTGTCTAGTGAGTTTCTCAAATCAAAAAAAAACGAGAAATACATAATGATTTCATGTTACTGATCCCACTAGGAAATATTACTTTGCCTGGAACAATTAGATGCCATAAACGGCTCAAATGAACAATATCTGATGGTAGCTGCAGATCTGATCGTCCTTTTATTTCAAATGTTTTCAGTTGCTGCAGACGTCCAATTTTACTAGGTAACACCACATGACGACCACTTGCTATGATCTTTAAGAATCCCAGTTGAAACAAATGACATATTCCATTCAAGTCAAGTAACTCAGATGAATAGGGCCCACTTGAAATTTCAATCGTCAAAACTCGGAGATGCTTGAACTGTAAAATAGGAGGTAGATATAAAGAGGTACCAAATCTTGCTAGCATTCGTGTTTGGGATAGCTGGAAGGATCTTCCTACTGTTTCATCTATTGCACCATCCAAACTGAGTGAGAGTCGACGGATCTTTGCAGGCTGTCTTGTCAAATCTTGTATATCATCCATTACAGTGATAAAATTGTCTTCTCTGGATTTATATAGGATAAGATCAAGCATCATGTCATGAACCCTGCAAGACATCACCTCACCATTGTAGTCTGTATCTACGGGCTGAATCAAACTCCTATTGATAAGCTCATTAAAATAGCTCTTTTCAATATCCTCTGGATCTGTCCCACGACCTTCACATATAAAACCTTCACTTATCCATTGTCTAACCAAATCATTCTTGTTGATTGTGTAGTCCTCTGGATAAATGCCTAGATATAGCATACAAGTCTTCAAATAATGAGGAAGGTTTATGTAGCTGAGGTTTAATATTTGTCTCATGCCATCCAAGCTTTGGCTCACTTCAAAGTTGGACCCTAGAGATTTTTGTACGTACTCCCACCAGTCCTTCAGTTTACTTTCTTGATTGGCTAAAAGGCTAGATATTGTGATAACTGCAAGAGGTAAACCGCCACATTTTTTCAAAATTTGAGCAGACACTTCCATCAAATATGGAGGGCAAGCTTCCTCTGCACCAAAAATTCTTTTGAAGAATAAGCTTCGTGAGTCTTGGTCACTAAGGGCCTTCATCTTGTAAACACATTCAATGTTCTTAGCACAGCAAGCTCTGGCCACAGTCTCAATTCGTGTAGTTATTAATACTCTGCTGCCATTAATGTTCTCTGGAAGAGCACATCTAATAATATCCCATGCAGGAGCCTCCCAGATGTCATCAATTACAATTAGGTACCTGACATGTAAATGCATACCGCGTGTAGCGACCTTTAGGACAGTGTTCATGAAAACGTGAAAGCATCATAGCTAGAGGCTAGAATAACCACAACAAAAACAAGAACTCAGTCGAAAAACTTCAAAAGTGGTTATGTTGATAAGGGTTCCGGTTGAAAAGTTATGATGCCTTCTGTTTTTTAAAGTAACTATTTCTTAACACATAGTCTTACTAGCCTATAGACGCTGGTGAGAACTAAAATGGTAATTTGAGGAACAGTACTTCGAGAATAGATATGAAATGCAGCATCAAAATTCTTATAAGAACTGTAATACTTTGTTTGTATGGTTTATTTGGTTTATATGTATAACAACTTTGATGATTCTAATAAAGTGCAAAAGTATTAAACATATAATCCTATTAATTAGAGTGTTAATTAGTTGTACTACAGAAACATATAAACCTGGATCTAAGGATACAGGAGGGACTCACTTCAACTAGTCAATCCTACGGAAACGAGGTGAAAAGAAAAAATATGGACAAATTAGCATGTTAAAAAAAATTCTTTGCCGAGTGCCCTCTGTGGACGGCACTCGGCAAAGTTTGATTTTTTTTAAAATTCTTTGCCGAGTGTCCTCTGGCCGGCACTCGGCAAACTTGGAATTTTTTTTAAAAAAATTCTTTGCCGAGTGCCGTATTTCCGGCACTCGGCAAAGTTTGATTTTTTTAAAATTCTTTGCCGAGTATCCTCTGGTAGGCACTCGGCAAAATTTGAATTTTTTTAAAAAAAATTCTTTGCTGACTGCCCTCTGTGGACGACACTCGGCAAAGTTTGAATTTTTAAAAAAAATTATTTGTCAAGTGTCCTCGGGCCGGCACTCGGCAAACTTGGATTTTTTTTTAAAAAAATTCTTTGCCGAGTGTCATGGTCATAGCACTCGGCAAAGCTGGAATTTTTTTTTCATCAACCCATTTTCCCAGCTTTGCCGAGTGCTGTGACCATGGCACTTGGCAAAGGGGTCATTTGCCGAGTGCAACACTCGGCAAAGTGACCAAAAACGGCCATTTTTAATTTTTTTACATTCCATCGTGACAAATAAATTAATACAATAATATATCTCATTCATCACATATATATCTCATCCATCACATATATATCTCATCCATCCACACATCCATCCGCACATATCACATCCATCACAATATATATCACATATATAATAATAAGTGCTCAAGTCCATCCAAATAAATCCACAAGTCCATCAAAGTCCACAAGTGCATCACAAGTCCATCACCAAGTGAACAACAAATGAAAAAAATACAACGTGCACTCATCTCGGCCTCTGCGACTGTGGTGAAGGCCCAGTTCCATCATTCGGAGGTGCATGAGGTGGATTATTCGATCCACCGTCAGATGGAGACTGCAAAAAGGGGAAAATATTGTATGTGAGACAAGATTATTTGGATAGCTAATCTAGGAAGGTAGAGGCCATACAAGCAAAGCACAAGCGAAAGTAAAAAACTTTAATACTCACAGAAGTAGCTGGAGCTGCAGGACACGGATGCGGAGGTGGAACCAACAGCCCAGGTGGCAGAGATAAGCCCACACGTTGCCCAAGCCCTTGTAGGAACTCCGTAATGTCCATTAGCCTCTACGCCTGGGCCTGCCGCTCGGCCCGCTCGGCGTCCAGCTGGGCCGCCAGCTCCTGACGTTGCCTCATTTCTTGTTCTAGCCGGGCCTGCAATATTTCACTCCAATGTTTCAGTAATGCAAAGCTAATTAAGGTGTGTAAATATCAATGTATGACGAGTAAAACAGGAATAACCTCGAGTGCGTCGACTCGGTGCTGTGCAGCGGTTGGCCGTGTGCGAATGGCCAGGCTCTCGCTCGTGCTCCGTGCTCGGATCTAGGAGAGAGAGGGAGTAGAGGCCTTGTCGATGACGCCATCGCCAAGCCAGAACCGCCCATGCTTCTTGCCTTGCCCCGCCCTCATGACGGCCTCTCCATCGAAGTCCTGGGTGCTCAGATCATGGTCTGACCCATGGAACGACCTCACCATCTCAGTGTACTCACTGATGCGGGAGTGGACGCTCGGGTTCGTGTATGCCCGGGCGGGTCCTCCAGGTTGAAGGAGATGTCGGACGTCGCCTTGCCCTTGTGGGCCATACACCATGCCTGGAAGTCCGAGCAAGCTTGACCACTATGTGACGCCGACTACGAGAAAGACAGCACGATGATTACAAATCAGGCAAAACCGAGCCTCACAATAGATAAATGAATTCGCATACCCATGCTTGTTTGTATCCAGTGAGGCTGCGGCTGCCTTGATGGTGTGCTGGACCTTGCATCTGTAAACGACGGTCCCGGGCATCCCTATGCATCTTGAGGTACTCCTCCGTGAACCGCCTCTCCACCATCATCGCCCAGCACTCGGGATACGCTTGGCACCACCAGGGAATCACCTACACGTCATTAAGTATTGGACATATAAGAAGATCAAATTAAACCAACTTAATCTCAAAACGAATCAATATTGATGTTATTCATTTACCTCAAGGTACTGCTCCCGGGTCAGCTGCATCTCTCTTGCGTCTTGCTTGGTTTTCCTCTCTCCAAGCTTCGACCCGTAGTAGGTTACGATGGCCTAGATGCGTGCCTCATGATGCATGTCGGTGACGAGTTTTTTACAGGCTTTGGTAGTCACTTGCTCCGCCCTGGCCTCAAATCCCTCCTCGCATCTGTAATAAGTCTGCATACAAAAGCGATGTATCCATTCATTATTTCAAGAAAAGTCCAATGAATGCGATGTATTGAGCAATGTTGTGCGAGGGAGACTTACCCAAAGCTCTACCTTCACCCGCGCCGCCTTGTTGGGGTACTCCACATCGGTGGCGACGGCGTAGTGGTCAAACGAGTAGGCCGGCTCCGTCTTCGATGCGTACGTGACAATGCCAGGGAAGTGTTGCCTGCACAGAAGACCTAGGATGCCGTTGACTAGCCGTGCGTTATCACCCAACACAACCACCTAGTTCCTGCACAAGTGATTAAGAAAAATTATTAGTTTTTTTTCATCATATCATATGAAATAGTGGTGATAACATATAAAGTTACTTACTTTTGCCCTTCGGGGCGAATCATTGGGCGTAGGTGAGGAAGCGGAACATGTGGGAGGCTCGTGGGACCTCGCAAGTAGACAGTCGAAGAGGAGTCGGAGGAAGTAGAACCCGTGCCTGCCGCCTCCAACTCGTCGTCCTCGTGCGGCCCCTCCTCCTCATCCGTCTGCCGAACTAGCTCATCGTCTGACTCATCCACGGGCGCCACCTCCTCCTCTGGCTCCTCCTCATGCGGCGTGGGAGGAGACGGCCCCCTCCTGCGCCCGGCGGTCCTCCTCCTCCTCCTGTCCGATCCCTCCGCCGCCCCCTCCTCCTACTGCCGGTGTGGTCTTTGGTAAATCGAGTTCACGGACCTATGACGGTCGCCCGCCATCTTTGTTCAATCACCTGCGACAAAAAAGAAAAACAAGACATAATTAGAAATAGGTGCAAAAATGAACAAAACATAATTACAAAAAACATAGTATTACATGTATTAGAAATAATCTTCATGATTGAGATTAGTTGGATCATAGGTCTCGTCATCACTATCAACATTGTCCAACTCATCAACACTATCCGAAGGAGGAATGTTGTCTTCATTGTCATTGCCTAAACGTAATCGCTCAAGCATTTGTATGTCCTTCAGATTTCGCACCTCGTCTCCAGCGTCCTCATCATCATCCCTTTCATTGTCTACTTCCATTCCTATCTCTTCGGTTAAGTCTATGTCAAACCTCCCTTGTAGTTCCTCTTCTTGATAGAACTCTCCATCATATGTGTTTGGGTTGAAGTTGTAATCTTCATCGTTTAGGACAGGTAGTTTACCGTGTGGCGATACCTTGTGCACAATAGACCAACCCTTAAGATGCTCGGCGTCTTTGCACGCGTATGACGTATAATAAACCTGGATGGCCTGTTGATCCATAATGTAGACACTTTTCCTGGATAGACGGAATCCTGTCGAATTTCGACTAGCCTAAGCTTAGGGGTCCGTCGTTACTCCAGGATGAAACCAGTGGCATTTGAATATGACAGGAGTAAGAGGTTTGGAACCATAGAATGATAGTTCATAGATTTCTTCAATTCTTCCATAATAGTCGAGTCCATCAGTGCTGGGTGTAACAACTCTGTTGTTTGTGGTTTTTCGATTGGGCCGACTCTACTCGTAGCTTGCTGTGTGAAAACGATATCCATTCACGTCATAACCGGTAAATGACTTGACCCTAACGGCACAGCTGTTTGCAACCTGTCTCAGCTCGTCACTTATAGACGCATCAGTTTGGGCTTTTTGTTTGAACCAACAAATGAAATCAGGGCTCCCTGGTCCCGTACCCCGTGAAAGAAGGGTATCATTTTATTGCAGGGTAGGTTGCCTTGATCCATGCCAGGATTGACGAAGAAATTCCCTATACCAACGAGAAACAATGGGGTTGGACGAAGAAACAAGGACATACGACGAAATGAAACAAGTTCGTTCAGAACTTACCGCCACTCTTCATTTTTCAATTGCTTAGTGGTCGATGCACTTGCGCTTCCGAGTTGCCCTTGGAAAAGGCTGAGGTTCGATTCATTTTTGCCAGCATTGTAACGAGGGGGTGGATTATAAACGCTAGGAAGTTTCTCAGTGTAGTATTTCTCGTGAAGTTCGACACCTCCTCTAGAATGTATGCCTCTCGCAATGGAAGCCTCAATTTTGGCTTTATTTCTATATTTTTTATGAAGAGTCTTGAGACATCTCTCGATTGGATAGCACCAACGGTTCTCGCATGGGCCCCCATCCATGCCTCATATGGGAGGTGCACATTCAAATGCTGCATCGGCAAGAAGAAGCCGGGTGGAAAGATCTTCTCCAACTTACAAAGCAACACGGGTGCCGCTTTTTCCAAGTCATCAATGACGGTCCAAGAGAGCTCCTTGGCACAGAGCTGGCGGAATAAGAAGCTCAACTCTGCCAGCACTTGCGAGACATGCTCCGGGACATAGCCTAAAACCATCGCCGGAAGAAGTCGCTCAATCCATATGTGGTAGTCATGACTCTTCATCCCGTTTACTCGCAGAGTGCCTAAGTTCACTCCCCTCTTTAGATTCGCTGCATACCCATCAGGGAACATTAGCGTCTTGATCCATTCTAGTACTTCCCTCCTTTGGTCCTTTTTCAAGATGAAATCGGCCTTAGGCCTTCTCTAGGTCTTACCACGACTAGGAGGCTGCATCTCTTGATTTGGTCTATCGCACAATGGTGCCAGGTCCACTCTAGCCTTAGGGTTGTCCTTAGACTTTTCAGTGTCCATGAGTGTTGCCCAAAGTGCCTCGGCGACATTCTTTTCAGTGTGCATTACATCAATGTTATGTGGCAGAAGAAGGTCATCGAAATAGGGGAGCCTCGTCATGCCCGAGATATGAGTCCACATATGTTGCTCACCATATCCCACAAAACCACCTTCTTCATTAGGCACGAGAGCATCTATCTGATCATGAACCTCGGCACCAGTCATCATCCGGGGTGCATCAGATATCACTTTGACACCTTTCGTAAAGTTCTTGATGTCTTGTCTGAATAGATGGTCAAGAGGTAGGAATTGACGATGTATGTCGAATGATGAATACTTGCCACCCTTCTGCAACCAAATGAACCTCACACCTTCCTTGCATATTGGGCAAGGGAACTTCCCGTGAACACACCAGGCGTAGAATATCCCATACGCTAGGAAGTCATGCAGGGAGTAGTGGTACCAAACGTGCATTTTGAAGGTTGTCTTTGTAGCTCGATCGTATGTCCATACCCCTTCGTCCCAAGCACGGACCAATTCATCAAACACGGGCTCCATGAACACACCCATATTACTCCCTGGGTGTCCAGGAATTATCAACAACAAAAATACGTTATGTTGTTGAAAGGAGACACCGGGGGGGGGGGAGATTAAGGGGGATAACGAAGATGGGCCAACATGTGTATGGGGCAGCCATCATTCCATAAGGATTGAACCCATCTGTTGCCAGCGCGACACGTACATTACGAGCCTCATCTGCTTTGTCACGATGTTTGTCATTAAAGCGGATCTAGGCTTCACCATCGGATGGATGTACCATATTGTCAGGATTGTACCATTTGCCATTTTTGTGCCATATCATCTGTTTCGTGGATTCCTCGGTCATGTATAGCCGTTGGATCCTTGGTAGGAACGGAAGGTACCGTAGGATTTTCACGGGGATCGTAAGTTGCCTCTTCTGGCCATCATCAGAGTCTACCTCCAGGTACCTAGAGGATTTACACTTTGGACAGAACTTTGCATGCTCGTGTTCTTTCCTAAATAGGACGCACCCCTTCGGACAAGCATGCATCTGCTCATACGACATCTTAAGTGCTCAAAGGAGTTTTTGTGACTCGTACATGCTCTTTGGCAGAATATGGCCCTCCGGAAGCAGGGTGCTAATCACGGCCAACATCTTATCGAAGCCAGGTCGACTCAAGTTTAACTTGGACTTCAACCCCATTAAGCGTCCAATGGCATCCAGTTGAGACACCGTTGATCGATCGTGAAGGGGTTTCTATGCCGAGTCCATCATGTCGTAGAACGCCTGTGCGGCTGCCTCCATCTCCTCCTTCTCACGTCCCTCATCGAACTATCCTTGGTGAAAGTCATCTAACATGTCTGGTACCCGGGCATCAGCATCAAAAGCCTCCACCCGTGGTCTCACCACCTCCTCTCTCATACGATGGGCTTCACCATGGTGGACCCACCGAGTGTAGTCCGACGTAAATCCATTCTTCACAAGATGTTTACCCATTTCCACCTTGTTTACCCTCCTCCTATTTCCACATTTGCTGCAGGGACACAAAACTAGGCAATGTCCTTTAGCACCCTTGCCAAATGCACTGTTTAAGAAAGCATCGGTCTTGTTCATCCATTTAATGGTGTAATCACTCTAACTTCTCCAGCCCGTGTACATCCACTGACGGTCATCCATCCTCTAACATATGTATCAGCGAGTAATGTAACCATCAATTGCATCTACATGGTGTTCCTACTATCTAATAGGTGAGGATAGGTCCTAATCCCACCTGCGGATGCGTAGATGAGATTAGTTTCCATGCTCTACTCCTATCCGAGACAGAATTTCAGCAGCACCTCCCCGCTGTTCTCCAGATACACGTCCTACCAAAGAAGAGTGCGTATCCGGAGAACAACAGGGAGGTGATGCCGAAACTCTGTCTCAGACCGGAGCAGACCATGGAAACTAACCCATCTACGCATCCGTGGGCTGTTCAAAAAACATGGACAATCCGAAACAGATACGGTCATAGATATGCAAAGATCTGCATACCTCCAACCATATCTCTTTCGAACGGGAGACGCCTAACTAGGTTACGCAATCTACGACCATGATACAGAAAGAGGGGTTATACCTAGGGTGGCGGCAGAGTCAGGCTAGCGGGGTCGTGCCGGGTCGGTGCAGTGGTGAGGCGGTGCGGTGTAGGCAGACCGGCACGACGACGGGAACTCCGACTTGGCTCCGACGGGCTCCTCTACAAAAATGGAACAAAATACTGTCATTTAAAAAAAATTCGGTAGAACCTCACCTGCATGGTGAGGTTTTCAAAACCTGCAAAAAACAGCGGCACGATGGCCGACAAGCACATATGTCTCAAGAGAAGCCATGTAATTTGGATATCAATCCATGTAGAAGAATATCCAAGTAGTACCACTACTTCTACTTCTAATTCCACTATTGCTACTACTACTACCACTAGTTCTACTACTACCACCACCACTATTGCTACAACTACCACCACTAATTCTACTACTACTACTACTACTACCACTAATTCTACTACTACTACTACCACTAGTTGTACTACTACTACCACTACTTCTAATACTACTACTACCACTACCACTACTAGTACAACTAATACTACTACAACTATCACTACCACGACAACAAAAAGAGAGAAGGCATACGACGGGCAGGGGCTAGGGTCGCTGACGCCGGGTCGGGGTGAGTCGGTCGTCCGGAGTGGAACGAGGTCAGAATCAAGGCCGGCGGGGCAGGGCAATGTCGAGAGTGTAGGCCGTGGGGTAGGGCTTTCACTGAGGTAGGCGTGGGCAGCATCGTACGTGACAACGTGCATGAAATCTTCTGAAATTTTTATCATAGCCTCCACATATGATATCATGACATCTCAACAAGTTTCATGATTTTCGGACTTCGTTTGCTTTTTATAGAATTTAAAAACACTTTGCACGCAAGTTCGCGGTCATGTTTCGTGAACAAGATGTCCGAAATTTCGGGTCCGTTCCTGGATACGGCCTCACACTACACTCAGTAACATGACTATCATTTTTTAAATCATTAAATTCCATTATTCGTACCATGTGCAGTTCAAAATTATATTTTTCGAAAAAATTCAAGTAAATGAAATAAAGTAACTAAATATATCAAAAAGCCATAAAAAATCCCCATATTCTAACTAGGAGTTCCTGGTGCTTTAAAAAGGGTTGCACAAAAAATTTGGAGGCCAAAAACAAAAAAAAACTTTGCCGAGTGCCGGGGCATAGCACTCGGCAAAGGGGGTCTTTGCCGAGTGCCACGGATAAGGCACTCGGCAAAGAGGGTTCTGATTTTTTAAAAAAAAATTCCTCTTTGCCGAGTGCCTTCACAGGGCTCTCGGCAAAGACATTTAAAAAAAATTAAATCTTTACCGAGTGCCGTGCCAGGGGCACTCGGCAAAGTATTTTTCAAAAAATAAAAATTGCTGAGTGAAGGACGTGGCCGAACACCGTTACGCGGGTCAGCCTATGCCGAGTGCCGCGTTTTTGCCGAGAGTCTGGCACTCAGTAAAGAAGTCATTTGCCGAGTGCATTGTTTTGCTGAGTGCCCGGCACTCGGCAAAGACCTCTTTGCCGAGTGTAATTCTTTGCCGAGTGCAGCACTCTGCAAAGAAGGTCTTTGCCGAGTGCCCGATTTTTGACACTCGGCAAAGAATTTTGCACTCGGCAAAGTCTCTGTCCAGTAGTGTTATATAGTAGCACTAATTGCTTTTGCCACGTGCATGCTCGTATCGTAATTAATGAAGTGGGATGAAAGCGTTACATACCAGTTTGCATTCGTCTTTCAAGTGCCCGTTGTTCACATCATCATCCTCCTCCCGCTCATCATCTTCAATTCTCGAGTCCTCAAATAGCCACTGTAAATCGGCATCATACTTGATGTTGGCTACACGTCCACCTCGGTGCATGTCTATGGCGTTCCTCAACGCGGACTCTGCAGCTCTTCTGTTGGATTCGCTGGCATCCGCGCCCCCAATACATACGTAGATTTCCCTGAGGCTTGACAGGTGCTTGGTTCCAGTAGGTGCAGCGCCATACCTATCCCACCCCCTGGCATTAAAAATTTAAAACGTAGCTCGAGCTTAATTTCAAGCTTGGGCATTGCCCCTGCCACAAAGGCCAGGCATGATATCCTGCTACAGCTAAATTGAAAATGCTTCAGAACAGGGAATCCACTTCCATGGATGATGATCTTATCTTCAGGAGTTCCTTTGATGAACAACTCCACGTTGATAACTGAGGGCAGCTGTGCAAGAATTCCAACATCTTCCTCAAGCACTTGCTTAACAAAAAAGACGAGGTCATAGAGGTTATGGAGTCGGATGATCCATCCAGGAACCCTTGAGAACTTGTGTCCATGGAATATCTGGAGATGACGGAAAGAAGCGGGTGTTGAACTCAACGCATCAATGTAGAGATTGTTGTCACAATAAATTTTCATATATAGATATTTGAGGCTGCAATCTTTCCAAGGCAAGTCTGCAGAACTTCCCTGCCTTTCTTCACTATCTCATCATTTGCCTTTTCACCAAAATTACATATGATTTTAAGATTGGTCAAATTGGTCAGTTCCCCCAGACCTTTGATTCTGTTTGGTGAGTTACGTAAATTGAAGTAGTGTAGAGTACGCAAGGATTTCATGTTACCGATCCCGTTTGGCAATATTATGTCATATGGAATAATCAGATGCGATAACCGGCTCAAATGAACTATATCCGATGGTAGTTCACGAAATGATTGTCCCTTAGACAATTTTATAGTAGCATTGATTTCAAATGTTTCCAATTGCTGCATACTCCCAATTGTACTAGGTAACACCACCTCATGACCTTTTGCTACAATCTTTAAATATCTCAACTGAAATAGATGATGTATCTCAGTAAAGTTTTGTAACAATGGTGGATAGGACTGTTCTGTAATTTCAATTCCGAGAACACGGAGATACTTGAACAGTTGAAAAGGAGGTAAGTATGAAGAGGTTCCAAATATTGCCAGTGTTCTTGTTTGGGATAGCTGGACACATCCTGCAACCCTATCACCTACTGTACCACCCAGGTTGAGAGAGAGTCGATGAATCTTGTCTTGTTGTCCTGTCATGTCTTGTATATCATCTATTACAGTGACAAAATTCTCTTCTTGGGATTTATGGAGGATAAGATCAAGCATCATATCATGTACCTTGCAAGACATCACCTCACCATTGCAGTTTGTATCTGCAGGCTGAATCAAACTCCTATTAATAAGCTCATTAAAATAGCTCTTTGCAATATCCTCAACATCCATCCCACGAACATTACATATAAAACCTTCAGCTATCCATCGCCTTGTCAAATCATTCTTTTCAATTGTGTAGTCCTCCGGATAAATACCTAAATATAGCATGCAAGTCTTCAAATAATGAGGAAGATTTATATAGCTGAGATTCAGAATCTGTCTCATGCCTTCCAAGCTTGGGCTCATTTCAAAGTTGGAGCCCAGCCTGTCCCTTACATGTTCCCAGTTCTCCTTTAGTTTGCTTGGCTGACTGGCTATTAGGCTAGATGTTGTGATGATTGCAAGTGGTAAACCACCACATTTTTTTTCAAAATTTGAGCAGATACTTCCTTCCTTCAAATACGGAGGGCAACCATCCTCTGAACCAAAAATTCTTTTGAAGAATAAACTCCTTGAGTCCTGGTCACTAAGTGCCTTCATCTTGTAAACACATTCAATGTTCTTAGTGCAGCATCCTCTAGCAACCGTTTCAATTCGAGTAGTTATTAATACTCTGCTACAATTAATGCTCTCTGGAAGAGCACACCTGATGATATCCCATGCAAAAGCCTCCCAGATGTCATCAATTACGATTAAGTACCTGACATATATAAAAGCATATGGAGTATAGCAAACCATTAGGATAGCGTAAAAGCATCCTCACTATAAACATACATTAACCAGGATATAAGAATACAATAGGGACACACATAAACTAGTCAATCGTAAGAAAACAAGGTGAAAAGAAAAAAATACAGACAAATCAACATGTTTAGTTGTTGATTACATAATACTAGCATGCTAAATAAGAATGACATCAAATTAGAGCAAACTAAATCGCAAACAAACCATACAATTATTTCAAACCAGAGTGGCCATGAAGCTCTCGTTTTTCGTGCGAAAAATTGCGTGACGTGTGGCTATCCAGTGGGGTCCCTCCTAGTATTAAAAAATGCCTATTTTTTGATTTGTTTTTTTAGGTTTTCTGGAAACCAAATCACTGCCGCTTTTAAAACCGGTACTGATGAGCCCCCTCATCACTGCCAATATGATTGTGCTGGTTCAAAAAACCTGCACTGATCGGCTTTTTGAGCTGGCAGTGATTGGAAATCTGTAGTAGTTATGTAGGTTTGGGCGGCTGAGTTATAATAGATTTAGGTTTTATTATTTTTATAATATTTTTTGTTAAAAAAATTCATAAAAGCCCAGTAGTGTTTAAGACAAAAAAAAGTTATTCCAAACCTCCAAAAATTTAGGGAAAAAAATCTTGGACACATTTTGGAACATCATAAACCCAAGTAAAGTATTTAGAGCTCATGAAAAAGAATTTTGGAGCATAAAAAAATTAGATTTTCCTATAGGAAAAATAGTAATAGGTTCTAGAAAAACGTACAAAATTCCTGGGGAACATTAGTTGATGACTAAATGCATCTAAAACATTTTGGAAATCATAAAGCAGAAGATGCACCTAGCATGAATGCAACAAATTTACCTTAGGATATATAGTTAATTTGGGAAAGTTCTTGAAAGCCATTCTTTTTTAGATAAAGGTGAATTAATTTGACTTCATCTCCTTTAACCAAGACAATGAGACCAATTTTACATATGTTGAGCAACACATTTAATCAAACCCACTCAAACATCACTAGCCATGATGTCCAACGAATGACTGGACCACCTGTCAATAACAATGTCTTATTTGATCTACCCGTTTGTTTGTGCCAATCATGAAAGATATCCATCACATTCAAAGGGTATTTGAGACCCAAAACAAGATGTATCCTTCGCCACAGGAACTGAGCATACAGACACTCGAATAAGAGGTGTTGAATAGTTTCATCCCTACTACAAGACACACAAGATTTGTTCCTATCTAGTTCCTCTTTAATTAATAAATTATGTATAGTTAAAATCACCCCCTCTTGATGAACCATAGAAAATTTGTAATTTTGAGTGGTATACTTAAACGCCAAATATCATGTGAGACTTTAATGCACATATTCACAAGGAGTTTATAAATGAAATTTATTGTGAGCTCGACACTATTTTTAAGGAGCCAAAGGAACCTAGCTCATCCAACTTTGTAAGCTAATGTTCATGACTCTTGCTACTAAGTGAGCGCTTGGTATAGCTTCTGAAACAGCTCTGGGAGCTCCATATCAGCCAACCGCTCTCCCACACAACTGCTTCATGTGTGGAGTCCTAGGAATACCGCTCACTGGAGCTGTTTTTGAAAGAGTGATTGGAATGAGTTGTTGTATTCCATATTGTGTATGGGTACATATATAGGCAGTCGGGGTAGCATGCAAGCCAACCACACAAGCACACAAGTACAGGGCGACCATTGCTATATTTACATCATGCTAATACTCCCCCGCGGTCTTATCGGGAGCACGACGAACGTTAAACTTGGATCGAAACTCTTGAAATACAGATGTTGGGAGACCCTTGGTGAAGATATCGGCGTACTAGGACGTCGTGGGGACATGGAGAACTCGAACATGACTGAGGGCGACACGCTCCCGAACAAAGTGGAGATCAATCTCAGCGTGCTTCGTGCGCTGATGCTGGACCAGATTGGTGGAGAGGTAGACAGCACTGACGTTGTGGCAATAAAACAGGGTGGCACGACGAAGATGGTGGTGAAGCTCGGCAAGTAACTGATGAAGTCATGTAGCTTCAGCGACACCATTGGCCACGGCTTGATACTCGGCCTCTGCGCTAGACCGGGAGACTATGTGCTGATGCTTGGAAGACCAGGACACCAGATTGTCATCGAGGAACACCGCATAGCCAGAGGTCGAACGACGAGTGTCGAGGGAGCCGGCCCAGTCCGCATCAGTGTAAACAACAAGCTCTGTAGGCGGAGAGCGATGCAGAGTCAAGCCAAGGAAAAGAGTACCCTATAAGTACCGTAGTATCTGCTTGAGAGTAGCAAGGTGCAGCTCTTTTGATCATGCATGTAGAGACATATCTGCTGGACGACATAGGCAATATCCGGACGAGTGAAAGTCAGATAATCTAGTGCACCAGCCAAACTACGATACTGAGTAGAGTCAGCAACTGGAGGACCATTGACGGACAACTTGAAGTGCAGGTCTACAGGAGTGCCGCAAGGCTTGCAAGCACTCATCCCGACGCGTTCCAAGATGTCCAGAGTATACTGCCATTGAAAGAGCAAAAGGCCATCATCGCAGCGGGCGACAGAGACACCAATGAAGTGATGGAGCTGTCCCATGTCGGTCATAGCAAACTCACGCTGAAGGGCTGCAATAATATGTTGAAGAAACCTAGCTGAGGAGGCGGTTAGAACAATATCATCAACATAGAGCAGCAGATATGCAGTGTCTGATCCCTAGTGATTAGCGTAGGTGCTTTGCGAAGTGCTTAGGTTAGTTAGACCACGCTCATATGCGCTTGCTCTAGGCTTAGGTCTAGTTGCTAGTGAGGTTTGCATACCTCTTGACCAAAGGTGCTTACGCGCACCGTGCTTGTACTCGGCGGGGCTTGTAAGTCTTGCGAGACCATACTAACCGTGTTTGTGGTGTGGCTGCCACCGTGGATGGAGGGAACAAGGCCCACGGTGTTTCGGTCGAAAGCTTGATAATGAAGACAGCGGGGAACGGTCCGAGAGAGGTACACCAGAGACCCACTTTCGCATGGGGAAGGCCCGGGGCTATCCACGGAGTTACCCAACCGGGAGCTTGGCTCTTGTGAGGGATTCCTTGCGAGGGGCTCCAACGGGGATTAGGGGGAAGCTTGCGTGCTTCTCGATACCTCGGTAAAAATACCAGAGTCATTGATGGGAGTTTGCATCTCTACCTCATCTTTAGCTTCTTCATTTTTATTGTAATCTTGGTTATGTGCTTTACCATTCCTAGCTTAGTTGATAGGCTAGTTGATAAGGTTGAAACCTAGGTTGCATAACTCTTTTGTAGTGGAGATAGCAACACATCTAGCAAAACCTTAGTTGCATATTTAGATAGATTACTTTCTTGCATAGGTTTTGACTAGGTGGAATTAGAGGTCATAATTAGAAGTAGAATTTTAAGTTGCCTAATTCATCACCCTCTTAGGCGTCATGGTCCTTACACGCTGGACACACTCTTCTCGGACGGTGGAAAAGGCTCGTCCAGGCAGCCGCGAAGACGCAATGCCACCTTCTAGGTCGCACCGCTGCGTCGGATTTAGTTGTTTTCCATTTATGTAACATCGAAACTAGAGGCCTTTCGCTAGGATGGTCCAGCTACGACTGTTTTTAGGTCGACCTCCTTCGGCGCTCGATAGAGACGCGTTGTCTGTATGTTTAAAATCTTCTTCTTAATACAATGATACACAAATATTTTGCGTATTCGAGAAAAAAAATAAGATGGAGGTCCGTATTATAGGGGATGGTCTCTCCACACTATTACTGATATAAACATAAACAAAGATGGAGGTCTATATGAATATCAACTTTATTGGTTTGATTTTCTAGCAAGGTGGCAGGCTTTATGGCACAGCCTCCCAACAGTGCAGCAACGTAACGGTGGCTTGCTCCAGCAAGGCAGCGCCCAGTAGATTTGTGGTCGTGGTGGAACCAATTTTTTTGGTTGATCATGTTAGAGCATGGAACAGTGGACAAGGACAGGAAGAATGAGAGGAGGAAGTGTGTGTGAAGATGAGTTGGAATGCACAAAGATATTACTCCCATTAGCATTGATATGGTCATCAGTCATCACACACACAGAATCTGACCCTTCTTTTCTTTCCAACATCTTTTCATGGCTGACCAATATATATATATATATATATATATATATATATATATATATATATATATATATATATATATATATATTTGAGGAAACTGGAGGGGCCGCAGCCCTTACAGATTGAACTTATTAATTCTACCAATACTATATTCTAATCCTAAAGTTCCACTAATGGAGAACAGGGTTTCATTTAGTCTATTTACAAAACATGTTAAGCCTGGTTAAATTTCAGTCTATTAGTATTATTTTTTGAACAAGTTCAGTGAATTGTTGTAGATAGAAAAGAGAAAAACGCACAAGCCCAACTGAACTTCGGATCCATGGAAACAAATGGCTCTGTTAGAGCCTCAGCAGAAGCCTCGAGCAAGTATATGCGAATAACACTGTGCTAATTCATCCCAGCTCCAAAACAAATCACATGTTCAAAAAGCAGTATGTTGTTTGTTGATGGAATACCCCACAATACAAGGATTGAGAGAACAGTCATCAACTCAAGCGTATATAGTAGGACCAAATTCTGCTGGACAAAAATCCAATAGCAAGTGGATTTAATGAATTTAGAGTATATATAACTTTTGCATAAAGAAATGATCGGCACGTTCAGCATCCGTGTTACTTATTACAACAAATTGAGCCAGTAAGGCAAGAAGCAGCTGGTCCCCAGTCCCCTAATAGTAACTCAACAAGTCCAAAGCCCCAAACCATACTACCACAAGCGATGCTGCAGATTCATCAGAACCAACAGCAATCAGCATGCATCTACACATATTATCAAGTCTGAAGTAAAAATAGTAGTGATAATTCTCGAGACAACAGCCTGCTCTGCAGCTGGATCCATGTCGTAACCATATGCTGGAGACGGTGGTGCCAGCTGATGAACGCAGAGAGACTGCAAAGATGCTTCAACATCGACACCACCCGTGTGGGTATGAGTGGCTCTTGCCGCACAAGTCCTGCCCACTAATTAGTAGTGATAATACTAATTAATTAAATATGCCGTACCGAAGTAATAATATTAATTAAATATGAAGAATCTGTCTTGGAATCTGGGTGGGGAAAACAGACGCCCGCGTCGCTCGCCAAGGGCGACACGGGCGGACCAAGCCTGCGCCGCCGCACACCTCCCTCTCGCGGCCCTCATCCTCGCCGCCGCCCGAGCCCTCCGGCAGTTCGCCGTGAAGTCGCAATGACGGTGGCGGCGGGGCTCTTCGTCCCCTCCCCGTCCGTTTGGTGGGCGCGCGGCGACGGCGCCAGCAGCTTGCGAGCAACGGCGGCGGCTGCGATGACTCCATCCTCGACGGAGGTGGCAGATCCGACGCCGTGGAGGGTGGATCCGGCAGCTCCCATGCCGGATCTACGCTGGTGGGCCTCGTGGCCGTGCGGGGCGGCGTTGGCTGCCATGGTGGTGCTCGGCTGCGCCGCCCATCCATGGCGGTGCGACGGTTTGACGGTGGTGTCCGTGGCGGTGGGCGGTGTGGCTTGTGCGCGAGGCTGGTGTGGTGGCGCCCTGGCCCGTAGGTGGTGGTGGTGGTGGTGGTGCTCCTCCGTTGGTCCGGCGATGGCCGGCAGCGACAGCAGGTCAGAGGTGGCGGAGGGGGCGCGACAGCTTGCTGCTGCGCTCGGAGGTGGAGTGGGCGCGGGATGGAGGCTGCTGCTCGCCGTCTTGGTCCTCGCCGGCGTCTACAGCGGGCGCAACAGCGGCGGCGGTGGCGGCTCCGGCTACCGGATCTGGCGCTCTGGCGGCCGGATCCGGCCTTCACTGGGCCGGATTTGGTGCTCCTGCGGTGGTAGTGACTACCGGCGCTGGTGTTCGGCTGGGCACCGGCGGCGGTTTTGTCAAGGAGGTGGATCGGCTGCTTGGTGGTTCGGCTGGGCGGCGTCTTCGGCGTCTGGGCGGCAATCCAACGGTGGCGGTGTGGTTCCTTCGGCGATGCCGTGGTGGCGTGGCCGGCCGTGGCGGTGGCAGGCCTGCGGTGCCGTGGTGGTGCTGCCGGCATTGCCGGGCCCGGTGGAGGCCACACTTCCCTGTTGGGGCTTGCCGACGCGTGTGCCCGTGCGGGCGCAGGGGGCAGCGGCGGGGTTCCCTCCCTCTCTGCTCGCCCTCTCCTTCTTCTCGATGGTGGCCATTTTGTGGCGGTGGTTGGGTTTCATGCCGGCGTTGGGGGGCGGCCCTTCTATGCCGTTCTTCCCCACATGATCCTGGCTGTCGGCGCGGAGCGGTCGCAGCGAGGACGGAGGCCTCGGCGTCTTCGGGGGTGCTGGTCTGGGGCCTTGCCCCAGATCCGGGATCTTCAGGGCATGGGACGGTGCCCAAGGTGGACGTACACGGCGGCGGAAGGCTGGTTCTTCGGCATGTGGTCCGGTCGGCGAAGTCTTGGCGCAGCTTTGCGGTTGCTTGTGTGGCTGGCGCGTCGACCCCTCGGAGTGGCCTCGGCGGTGGTCCGGCGGCGATGTCTTTGGTGCTCGGCAGGGACCCGGCATCTTGACCGGACGACCCGGTTGTGGTTTCTTTGGGCGATGGCTCTGGTGACGGCGACACTGCGGGTGCCGTTCCCCGTTGAGGGCGTCGCGTCCACAAAGCACTCTCCACGGTGAAAACCAGTCCGGCCTTTGACGAGCGGCGACGGCGCTTGGACGTCGTTACCTTCTTGAAGGCGTCGTTGTGGAATTTGTCTCGGCCGGGACGGCTCGTGGCGGCGGGCTAGTGCGTCGTTTTATTTGTTGTGTTTGCGTGGGTGGTGCCGGTGGTGGAGAGTTTGTTCTAGTAGAGTCGAGTTGAGTGGGCGTCGACCGGCTACAAGTGGCGGCGTGAGTTGAGATAGTTGGTTGGTGGGGTCGATTCGACAAGTTGGTGCTGAATTGTTGTATCAAGTTGTGTAGGATGAGCGGGGCTCTCCTCGGTTGTATGGTTTTTTGCCGATTTCCATTCAAAGAACTGGACGGGGCACTTGCCTTCTTTTTCTTTTCTTCGTCTAATAGAAATCGCGGCAAACTTTTGCCGTCCTTTCGAAAAAAATATTAATTAAATATGATATATGTATAACAGCTGGCGCAAACATAAGGTAAAAAGACTCTGTACTGTACCTGGCCTTGACCTTAATTTATATCAGGCACTGCTACTATAACCAAAACTCCCGCCCACCAGTTTGATGTTGGATGAGGGTGACTGGTGCAGAGCCAGCCACGCCCCCTGAGCTTGAGACTCTGCAGCCCTTCTATTGGATTCTTTTGCAAATGTGCTCCCAATGTCTCCGACGATTTCCTTGAGGCCTGATAGGTACTCGATGCCTGCAGGCACACCACCATACCTGTCCCATCCCTGTGCATTGAAACATAGCCCGAGCCTTTCAAGCTTCGGCATCGCCCCTGCCTCAAAGGCCAGGTACGATATCCTGAAACATCCAACTGTAAAATGCTTGAGAGCAGGGAATCCTCTTCCACGGATGATGATCTTGTCTTTAGGAACTCCATGGATGTGCAAGTCGAGGCGGACAAGGGAGGGCAACTGTGAGAGAATCCCAACGTCATCCCCATACACATCTTGAACACTAAGCTCCAGGTCATAGAGGCTATGGTGCTGGCCAATCCAGCCAGGAATCCTCGAGAACCAGCGATCGTACATTGCATGAAAGCTCTGGAGATGAATGAATGAAGTTGGGACTGAACACCATGAATCTAAGCAGGCTCTGAGAGTGACAGGTAGGTAATCACTATGAATAAGTAGACATTTGAGGCTGCAAATGTTTCCAAGGGCATGCACAAGTTCCCTACATTTTGCAGCAAACTCGTCTCTATTGGTGGATGTGTAGTCAGAATATCCGATTTCAACATTTGTCAGATTTGTCAGTTCTCTCAGACCCTTGATATTGTCTAGTGAGTTTCTCAAATCAAAAAAACGTAGAGTACGCAATGATTTCATGTTACTGATCCCACTAGGAAATATTACTTTGCCTGGAACAATTAGATGCCATAAACGGCTCAAATGAACAATATCTGATGGTAGCTGCAGATCTGATCGTCCTTTTATTTCAAATGTTTTCAGTTGCTGCAGACGTCCAATTTTACTAGGTAACACCACATGACGACCACTTGCTATGATCTTTAAGAATCCCAGTTGAAACAAATGACATATTCCATTCAAGTCAAGTAACTCAGATGAATAGGGCCCACTTGAAATTTCAATCGTCAAAACTCGGAGATGCTTGAACTGTAAAATAGGAGGTAGATATAAAGAGGTACCAAATCTTGCTAGCATTCGTGTTTGGGATAGCTGGAAGGATCTTCCTACTGTTTCATCTATTGCACCATCCAAACTGAGTGAGAGTCGACGGATCTTTGCAGGCTGTCTTGTCAAATCTTGTATATCATCCATTACAGTGATAAAATTGTCTTCTCTGGATTTATATAGGATAAGATCAAGCATCATGTCATGAACCCTGCAAGACATCACCTCACCATTGTAGTCTGTATCTACGGGCTGAATCAAACTCCTATTGATAAGCTCATTAAAATAGCTCTTTTCAATATCCTCTGGATCTGTCCCACGACCTTCACATATAAAACCTTCACTTATCCATTGTCTAACCAAATCATTCTTGTTGATTGTGTAGTCCTCTGGATAAATGCCTAGATATAGCATACAAGTCTTCAAATAATGAGGAAGGTTTATGTAGCTGAGGTTTAATATTTGTCTCATGCCATCCAAGCTTTGGCTCACTTCAAAGTTGGACCCTAGAGATTTTTGTACGTACTCCCACCAGTCCTTCAGTTTACTTTCTTGATTGGCTAAAAGGCTAGATATTGTGATAACTGCAAGAGGTAAACCGCCACATTTTTTCAAAATTTGAGCAGACACTTCCATCAAATATGGAGGGCAAGCTTCCTCTGCACCAAAAATTCTTTTGAAGAATAAGCTTCGTGAGTCTTGGTCACTAAGGGCCTTCATCTTGTAAACACATTCAATGTTCTTAGCACAGCAAGCTCTGGCCACAGTCTCAATTCGTGTAGTTATTAATACTCTGCTGCCATTAATGTTCTCCGGAAGAGCACATCTAATGATATCCCATGCAGGAGCCTCCCAGATGTCATCAATTACAATTAGGTACCTGACATGTAAATGCATACCGCGTGTAGCGACCTTTAGGACAGTGTGTTCATGAAAACGTGAAAGCATCATAGCTAGAGTCTAGAATAACCACAACAAAAACAAGAACTCAATCGAAAAACTTCAAAAGTGGTTATGTTGATAGGGGTTCCGGTTGAAAAGTTATGAGAGTAATGCCTTCTGTTTTTTAAAGTAACTATTTCTTAACACATAGTCTTACTAGCCTATAGATGCTGGTGAGAACTAAAATGGTAATTTGAGGAACAGTACTTCAAGAATAGATATGAAATGCAGCATCAAAATTCTTATAAGAACTGTAATACTTTGTTTGTATGGTTTATTTGGTTTATATGTATAACAACTTTGATGATTCTAATAAAGTGCAAAAGTATTAAACATATAATCCAATTAATTAGAGTGTTAATTAGTTGTACTACAGAAACATATAAACCTGGATCTAAGGATACAGGAGGGACTCACTTCAACTAGTCAATCCTACGGAAACGTGGTGAAAAGAAAAAATATGGACAGATTAGCATGTTGACTTGTTGGCTACAGAATAGTAGCATGCTCAAGAAGAATGACATCTAAATAGAACAAACTAAAACACGGATGGTAGAGGCTGTAACTTTGTTCCCTTATCTAAAAAAAAACTAAAACACAATAAACCATACTAAGCGTAAAATTATTTCAACGCAGGCATACCTCTGTTTTAGAAGGAATTTTCGTAGCGCACTAATGAATTCTGTCACTTCCCAAATTTCCATGGTGGTGTCCATAGGAGCTACAAAGCCAACTTGAGATAGCATGGTTCTCAGAAGCTTCCTAATATTTGGTTTTTGGGACATAGACACGAAGGCTCGACACTGGAACTCCCCCTGAAGCTTGCAATAAATCTCATTTGCAAGCGTAGTTTTTCCTAGGCCTCCAAATCCAACTATAGAGAGCACCTTTAGCTCATCCTCTCCACCCATCAACTGAATCAGTTCATCTGTGGGGCCGTCCATGCCCACAAGGCCAGATGCCTCTGCATACATTGCTAACAACCGAAGATCAATGGTTGTGTTGGTTGTCCTAGGGGCAACATCATTAGTCTGCTGGTACCTCATGCGTCGCTCCCTGACCTCGACGACACGGACCTTGAGGCCTTCAAACTCTTTGGCAATGTCATGCCGAATGTTCATGGTCGTCAACAACTTTGTGCTCCTATTTATGAAACCCATGAATCCGCGTGGCTTGTAGCTTGACTTGTGTTCCACACGGAGCATGAACTCACTGACACTGTCCTCAATATCATAGGACAGCTCACGTACCTCCTTGGCCCAACACTTGTCTTGCTCATCAGGCTGCTCAGTATCTGAGATCTTCTTGAGGAAGACATGCATGCTCTCAAGCTCAGCTTTGAGGAACAAGATCTGTCCCTTAGCTCCTTTGAGCAGCTTGTACTCAGCTGCGAGCAAATCACCAAGCTTCGCTATCAAGGAGCCCATAGCGCCGTGTGATGCAGTCACCACGGCAGCCTCCATCAATGACCTTGCCTTTCCTTCCTTTGCTCGCTCTCACTTTGGCAGTGCTTGTGTAGTCTTATTTCCAATCCTGAAAGAAATCAACGAAAGCAACATATTTAGAGTTTTTTATTTATCAATGACGAGTGACGATTCTAGTAATCGATGTGGACGACATGTAGCTCCACGTTTTGTTTCCTTCAGTATGCCCAGATTCATTGAATAGAGCACAAACTCCACTTATTTTACACTGTGCAGTTTTCTTTGGAGTGCAAACCGAATCAAGAACAAGATGGAAGAGCGTGTGATTCATACCCTACGGCGTACGCAGCCGGCAGGAGAGAGATCAAGAATGACAGGACTGTTGCTGTCCGGCCAAGTTTTCCATCAAACTGAAGACCACAAGAAAACCTTGTTGGAGATGAAAAGTGGCAGGTACTGTAGGGACGGCATGCCGGAGCGCGGGGCGGTGGAAGTGCAAGCTTTGTTGAAAACAATTGCGGAGGGAGGGCAGGTGTTTGTAGCACTGGCACCGCTGAGTGCGTGCCTGCGTGGGCGTGGTTCCAGCAGCGAGATTCAGAGGAAGAGGATGGGACGGGAGGCGACGGTGTGAAACTATGGATCTGCAAGTGAAGGACAAGAGGATTTCCTGGATCTGCAAAGCTCAGGGTTTCATAGAACTGCACAATGCAAACCCTGATCTGTATAACGGCGCGGTTTCTCAAACAACCACCTCTTCAGTCGCAATATTTTTTGTTTGCTTTATTTGTATACCAGTCCTTTGCATTGGAGAAGATTGGGATACAATATAATAGTGCAACACAGTACTGCACAAAAGGGAGCTGGTAGGACTCGTTTGGGACGAGTGAAAAGCACGATGGAGGCATACAATAATTGTAGCAGGTTGTTATATTATCAGCCTGCCAATAGGGTACACACACCAACTGTTTTTTTAACCTGAAGATGACTTGCAGGTTGTAAGGATGCTTCGTTGCGTGCTTAATTCCGGTCTTATGCTGCGTTTAAATTACTTACATCCCATGTGGCCAACTTGCATGTGTGTATGTGTTTGTTTGTTGCTTCACACGTGATTACATGTGACCACAAGGAGGGGAGGTATCTGATCGAGGCAGTCAGGGGCTCAACGCCCGGTTTAATTAATTTCCCCAAAGATTCCTCTGATCGGCAAATATTTATCTAGTCCTAACTAATACTACTTATATATACATGAGCGTAGGATGCCCTACCTCTGCATAACGACACCATGCCATGTCATCAAGTCAAGTCTTTTGGTTTGCTTTTAATTAATTGTTTGTAGAAGATAGATCTCTCGACCGAATTGCACGCCACAATCCAATAAGCATTAGTAGCTAATTATTATATTCCATCCGTTTTAACATATGTACCCACGTTATTTTTGTCTATTCTAAATCAAACTTGTCTCACTTTGGTGAAGATTACAGAAAATGACCTGACATCTTTTTTTTCTGATAAATGAAGGATTTTATCAATTCATAGTCATTATATCGAGTTGATACAATAAAAGTGAATTCACTTCCAGCTTCTACCTAAACACAAAGCCTAAGAGAAAGAAACCTGACACTCTAGTGACAATCAATTCTAAGACTAGCTACATCGCCACCCATGTGCCCGGGAGAAAAACACCGTAACCGCTTGCATCAATTGTTGCAATGCCTTCTGCACCAAAGCCTCTGCGTAATGCTTTTGGAGGATAACCCATGTACGCAGCCAATGGATTACAAAATAAACCACCTGCAAGGGAGAGTAAACATGTTTTTTTTAAAAGAAACAAATCATTTCTGCATAACCAAAGCGACCAACAAGTAGCTGCCGCACCCCCAAATCCAATCGCGCGAGCGTTCACTCCTTTTCAGTTGAGCGAACAATCTCGAGTCAGACACGCGCTCCAGCAGGTCACTGTTGGTCCCTCGCTCCGTTCGAGTCAAGCGCTTGCTGCCACAGTTGTGTCACGTCTGTCCCTTGCCACACGCGCTGCCATAGGTGCGTCCATCTTTATCTTTTTTATTTTCTACTTTTTTATTTTTCTTTTTATTTTTTTATACATTAACCAATTTATTTCCTTTTTCACCATTTTTTATCTCTTCTTTCACTTTTTCTCTTCTTCCTATTTAATTGAATCTTATGACCACAAACCTACAAAATTAATAATAACAAGTTGTGACGATAATTTGTCACGTAAAAAGTTATGTATATAAGTTGTGGGTATAAGTTGTGCGATTAAGATGTGCGATAAGTTGTGATTATAAATTGTTCTATAAAACATTATGCACATAAGTCATATGTGAACGTTTCTTGTATTAATTTATTAATAATGTATTATGCACATAAGTCCTTTTGCCTTTTATATTAGTCTATATATTTTCCTTTTATGTATGCTACCAACATATCTGCTATTATATCATTATATTAATTTGTATATCTAAGTTGCATAGAATAACTTATGTACACAAGTTATATAAAATAACTTATGCACACAAGTTGTGTTTGATTACTTTTTGTATATAAGTTGTGTTTCATAACTTTTGTGTTTGCAAGTTTTGGTATAAGTTGTGTTTTCATAACTTTTGTATTTTCATAACTTGTCAAGGTATAAAACTTTCAAATTATGGATCAGCAAGGCACAACTAGTATGATTTTCTTGCTAGCCAACTTAGTTGATTAACTTATTGTATAGAGTTATGTATCTAACTTGTGTTTTTCATGTATATGCTACATAACTTATTTGATTAACTTATTGTACAGAGTTATGTATTTCACATGTATGCTACTAACTAATTTGATTAACTTATTGAACAGAATTATGTACCTAAATTGTGTTTTTATGTATATGCTACCTAACTTATTTTATTAACTTATTGTACTGAGTTATGTGTCTAATTAGTACACATAAATTTTTACTAGAATGAAATTCTTTGAAACATATTCAAGTGGAATTTAGTTTTGTTCGTCTCGTCGTGTAGAACATACCGGTGTAGACGGAATAAAAAATAGATACACCGTTCAGAAGTTATAACGTTTTGAAATAAATATTTTGCTTTTTTTCCTACCTTACACTAGGCTGATGTCACAGTCAGAGAAAAAAAAAGGAGCAGAGCAGGGAGCGGTTGCTGGGCGTAGCGTGGGAGTGCACGAAAACAGAAACTGCACCTATGAATGAATTTTTTTCCTAAAGTAGAAAGTGGGATGTGTTGGAATTTTGATCGCTCACGTAGGAACGGTTGAACGTCCGCCAAATAGTGTGGCCGCGCTGCACCCAACAAAATTAAAGGTTTGAGATCCTTCTGAAACCCTCGAAGCCAACTCCCAAAAAGGTGGGAAATGTTGCGGGGCTAAGAGCATCTCCAGCAGTCCCCCAATCCCATCCCTCATCCCCATAAAACTGTCATATTGGGGAAGATTGTCCCACTTTTTCTTCTCCAGCAGTCCCCCAATAGCTCTCCCTTTTTTTGGTGGCCATCAAAAAATCACTCATCTCCCCTCAAATCAAGGGGGAGTTGCATCTCCACCAATATATTTGGGCCCACTCCAACTGCATCTTCTTCCTCTGCGATGCCCGCGCGACCCCTAGCCTACGCTCCCCGTGTCCCCTGGCGATATCCCATGTCCAGAGAGGAGGGAGGCGTAGCACTTGTTCGTCACCGGTAGAGACATTGCATGGGGGCTCCTTTGCGCAGCCGTGCCCACCCGCCAATGTGCTCGAAGCTATCGGTCGGAGCCCCATGATGTGCTTGGAGCTGTTGCATCGCCCACTGCAGCGCCGCGCGACCCGGCTGTTCGCCCAAGCCACGGACCTACATGTGGAACTCGCGGCGGACATGCCATGAGATCCATCGAGGAGCTCGCGACCAAGCCACGCGGTTGCTCGCCCAAGGCACGGGACCTCGTGACCGTGGCCATGGCCAACGAACGGGGCGGTGGGGCGCCATGGCTGGGTGCATGCATGGGAGGCCGGGGATGGGGACGGCAATGACGGGATCGCAACAAGAGACGAGCTATTGAGTCGGGCATCGGGGAGATCGAAGACACTGCGAATGGGATCGGTGCGGCCGTGCGGGGAAGAGACCGATGAGTAGAGAGAAAAAGGAAATAAATAAATTACCTGACACGTAAGTCCCACGTATTGAGGGAGATTATTGGCGATCTGTTGTAGTATCTTCCACAATAAGTTCAAAAAGTAATATTGGGCTACCCAATACCATCTTACTAAGTGAGTTGTATTGGGAAGCTGATGGAGATGCTCTGAGGGTGATTTAACGCAACTTGTATGCAAGCCCAAACTACTCGTGCAAAGCGACATTCTAAGAAAAGATGCTTAATTGTCTTATTCCTGTGACAAAAGCAACACTTCGCACTATGTTGCCAATTACGTTTTACTAAGTTATCTTTTGTTAAAACTCCCCTTCCAAGGTACCACATAAAAATCCAACATCATATTAAAATCACTTTAGTTTCGTTCATTAATTAAATATATACGAAATATGTACCGTTGCTGTCCGGCCAAGTTTTCCTTCAAACCGAAGACCACATGAAAACCTTGTTGGAGATGAAAACTTGCACGTATAGTAGTGATGGCGTGCAGGAGCGCGGGGTGGTGGAAGAACAAGCTTGGGTGACAGAAATGGCGGAGGCAAGGCAGGTGGCTGGAGCACTGACGCCACTTAGTGCGTGGTGCCAACTGCCAGCACAGCAGCGAGATTCAGAGGAAGAGGATGGGATGTCTGGCGACGGTGTGAAACTATGGATCCAAATACACACCAAATGTTTTTTTAATCCGAAGACCACTTGCGGGTTTGTAATTTGTAAACGATGCTTCGCTGCGCGCTTGAGGCTTGAGCTGCGATCCCATGTGTTGCTTCACACGTGATTACACGTGACCATTGGGACCACAAGGATCTCATCGAGGCGGTCAGGGCCGGGTTTAATTAATTTCCCCAGAGATTCCTCTGGTTGTGGCAAATATTATCTATTGCCAATTAACA